CTTACAAATGAAAAATCGCCTAAAAATATCACTTTTAATTACAAAATTATCAATTTCCCAACATATATATGTTAGGTATGTTATTGTACGTAATATAAGCCTCAATTGAAGGTAAAATTCAACCACAAACGCTTCGCAAAACGTTTTAAAGTGTTCTTTATAAAACTAAACTGCCTTTAATTAAACGGCTTATCGATAAACTTTGAGTTTGCAATAAAATGATTTCAAATTCTCGCTTGCAAATAACTTTGCTTTTTTTTTATTTAAAAAATTCAATATAATAAAAAAGGGAATCAATATTAAAGATACACTGAAATTATATGATGTCTTGTTTAGTTGTTTCATATACGCAAAGGCCGTAGGGTTTTAAAGCCATTATAAAATCAATATTTAAAACCAAAGTTACCTTCGTTAACGTCAGCTCCCTTCTTTTAGCCGATTCTTTCACCCTTTCTTTCTTGAAATTTACAAAATCTTGCAAAAATGCGAGCAAAAATGAAATATATTTGCAAGAAACTTTCAGATCAATCATCAAATCAAGAAATGTTTGCTATTTCGCTGTCGTCATGCAGTCGTTATAATGCAAACTTTAAATTGGACCAATCAGTGTCCGCTATTCACGACAGTCCGCTATATTATGAGATCAGTGAGGATGACCACCCACCAAAACACGCACAGTGACCCACGTCCGCGATAATTGATGAACTTTAGACTTCGCTAATGCTTTCGTTTCCCCGGGTGTAAATAGCCGGGGGGAATTAGTACCCTCGCACGGCGCTTCGCGCCGTCGGCTCGGGGACAAGTAATGCACGCGGAATTAAAAGTAATCGTTACTTTATTGAGTAACTGCACGACCTTTTTTAAGGATTTTCCCGTTGGGGGGCATTTTTTGAAAAGGGACCTTTCTGTGAGATAATATATTAGAGGGGATAGCAATTGGCGAAGGCCACGTGTGTGGCCAACATACCTCCAATGAATAGGGGGTTTGGGAATATACTCACCCAGAAAATTTTTGAAATTTGAAGCACGGAAATGCTCTAAAATCTATGCTACGTATACTTGTATTTGAAATAAAAGAAAGAAAAGACGCACAAAAAATAGAAAAATTATTCACAATAATTTATCATTACTTAGTGGTAAAATGTGAATTCGTGGGGGTCACAAGGAGGGACTGGGGGGATTTTTCCCCAGCTTGTATGTTAAAAAAGGTCCTGAGTAACAGTGCCATTAAAATTTGTTTTTAGTTTAAAGGTAACTGTAACTGCAGGAAAGCGCGAGTGAAATTTTTTTTCCATTATATCAAGTGAGAAAGGCAAACTCCTGATATTAACTCATATATACACCACTGACATCACCGTAGTATTTATATTTAGTCTCCACTCCAAACTTTCATCGACAAATCCCTTCAACTATTTCTTCGAAATTTTTTAAATTATTAAGGAAAATTCTTAACGAGTCAGCTGACTCGATAAATACCTAGCCTGAAATTTCGTTGCCGTGTAGGCTAGGATATTTGCAGCGAGGTTTAGCCTGTACGATTTCGATGACGGCGCCACCGCCAACCACCAGATTCCACGAATGTACATTGAATCAGCACCAACACCAGGAAAGCACGAGCAAGGCTTGAACTCTGCATCATGAACAGCTTTAAATTTTTGTTAGCAAGCTTGTTAAAGCTGAAAATATACATTTTTAATATAGAAAATTCTTTCTTACGAAGCAAACATCATATCAGCTGTAAGTAATTAAAATCTTAATAAAATTGGAAATATTAATAATTAGTCACTATCAAAACTAATCGACTATTATTTAATCGTCGCAAAAGATATACTTATAACATGATTACCTATATGCTAATTTTTCTTCTTGTTACATATTTTGTGTCATACAACGAAAAGTCTTAATACAAAAGGTCTTATTTAACGAGCAGTTTGGATTTCAAACATTCTGCCCCCATTTTGTGTTAAAATACACTTTTGCAGGTGAAAGACAATTCGCTGGTCAATATCATTTTAATGAATTAAACAAATATTAATGCACACCTGCGCTGTCATGGGATACATGACACTGTCTACAAATTTAGGCTATATGAGACTAATATATTGGGTCAGGTTTACATTATAAGTAATATATGTGCGGTATATATTCCATAATTAATGGTAGTGATTAATATTTGAATCAAACTGAAAACAAGAATTTGAAGGCCGAATACATTCTAACAATTTAGAGTGGATGCCGTTAGAGTAATGGAAACTGTTGAACGTTGTATATGTTTTTGTTATGTTGTCGCGCATAGGCTAGTCGTAATACGCGTCGCGCGGTGTTTCATAGATGTTTCTAGTTTTATCTGCGAAAACAAAAATGTTGGAAGACGAGTTAATTTTCGTTAAATCATTTGCCAAAGATTCCTGAAATTCGTTTCTTGCGTTTAGAAATGTTATGCTTTCTATAAGGTTGAAATGGTCGTCTACAAAAGAATTCATTTCCAAAATAGGTTCGAAAGGTTTCATTTCCACCACGAACTTCACAAAATTTTGAACAGAAACACGGTTAAGGTCAGCTATAATTGCATGAACAATGTCCATCATCACGCGACATAAATAATGAACGCATAATTAGAAAATACCTGCCACAGAGCGAAGACGTAGACAGTTGCAACGGTAGGAACGCATGTCCACTCCAGAAAAAATGCAAGGTGACTAAGGACACCCAACTGTCACAACAACCAACACAAACAGCAAAGCACTACATCGGCATGACATCAACCACCTTTTAAAGAGTGATACCGAAACCAAAATAGATCTTTCAATCACAAAAAATACTGAAACGATACAGAACTATCGAAATATATTTTGAAATTAAAAGAAAACAAACAAGATTTCGACATAATTTGGTCGATACTAAACCGCGCTGTTTCTTATACGGGAGGATCAAAAAGATGTAATTTGTGTTTAGAGGAAAACTCGGTATTTTGAAGGAAAAAAACAAAACAATTATTACTTAACAAAAAATCGGAAATATAGTTTCGACATGTATAACCATAAAAAGAAATTTCTAGTATTGTTTGACACGCACACGCCCAGGTTTCCGACAGTGAATATTTAAGCAGCCCACTTTTCGAAATATGTCAGCCACTTGATGATTCTTCTTATAGCTTGGATGAAACAGGCTGTTCTAGCAACCTTTTGAGGTAAAAACGACCATTTCTGCTCTATCTATATATCGTGCACTCTTTGTAGCATTTCGAGAACCAAACCACATTCGTATATTTGCACCAGTTTACCGGTTGTGCACTTTTGTTTTCTAAGCTACCTGTTAATATTTACCAATTAAAACATGACGCAATTTCGATTTAACTACTCATTGAAAACATTCCTATACCTTCACAGGATGCTCATTTGAGAAATTTGATTGAAAAATGGAAAGTGTAATAAAACGCATGAGATGGAATGCTAACTTTTTTCTAAAAGGTGATAAAAATTCGAATGAAAGTGACCATTTCGGCCTTCCTTCCACCGAAACACCTCCCGCTCAGTAGCGTAGCCAGCCCGACGATTTAGTCCCGCTATGCAAATATTTTCATGTTTATTGACTGTGAAAACAATCAATTTCTAAAGAAATGAATAATGATAATAATTTTGAATTTGCGTAGCGAAACTAAATTTTCGGGCTGGCTATGCTACTACACCCGCTGTTTTGGAAATGAAACCTTTCGAAGACGACCTCTTCAACCTTATAGAAAACATAAAATTTCGAAACTCAAGAAACAAATTTCAGGAATCTATGGCAAATGATTTAAAGAAAATTAACACGTCTTCCAACATTTTTGTTTTCGCAGATAAAACTATAACATTTATGAAACACCGCTCGACACATACTGTATGATAAGCTTACGCACAACAACATAACAAAGATATATTAACACGGATCACAGGATGTCATTTCGCAGATTGATGATGGACTGAAATATATTTCAAACAAACTGGAGATTGGGAACCGAATTGAACAAATTAAAAAACGCGAAGCATTTATTTCACTTGAATACCATGAAGGAAATTTCCAGAACAACCTAAAATGCCGACTGTACTAATTAAATTAATCCTTCTAAAAATAAATCTGGGAAACCAAGTTAAAGTAATTCCTGACAAAATCAATTGTAATCCGAGAGACATTCTGAACGTATAGGCTATCAAAGGAGAAACACGCGAAAACAATTGAACGGTTTGGCAACATAAAGGAAAAACACAGACATCGTTTTACTTCGTTTGATATATTTTGATTTCTACCCTTCAAATTCGGAACATTTACTGGACCAGGCATTATCTTCGGCTTCAAATTTGACTGATATAGCTGAAGGCTAAATTCTAATATCGAGTTTGCTGAATCATAATAGATTGTTCAACAGTTTCCGTTACTCCAACGGCATTCACTCTGAGTTATTACAATGTATTCGGCCTTCAAATTCTTCTCTTCGGTTTGATTCAAATATTAATCATTATACCATTAATTATGGAAAATATACCGCACATATATTATTTGAAATGTAAACCTCATCAGATATATTAGTCTCATACAAATTTGTAGACAGCGTCATGTATCCCATGACAGCGCTGGTGTGCATTAATATTTGTTTAATATAAAACGATATTGACCCACAAATTGTTTTTCACATGCAAAAGTGTATTTTAACAGAAAATGGGTGCAGAATTCCAAACTGCTGGTTAATTATAAGGCCTTTCGTATTAAGACTTTTCGTTGCATGACACAAAATAAATAACATGAAGAAATATTATTATATAGGTAATCATTTTAATTTATAAGTATATCTTTTGCGACGTCAAATAATCGATTAGATTTGGTAATGACTAATTTTTTAATTTTTCCAATTTTATTAAGATTTAATTACTTATAACTAATATGATATTTACTTTGTAAGAAACAGTTTCCTATATTCAGATTATATATATTAAGTTTTAACATGTTTGCTAACAGAACTTTGAAGCCGTTCAGAATGCAGAGTTCAAAAATTGCTCTTACCTTCCTTGTGGTGGTGCTGATTCAATGTACATTCGTGGAATCTGGTGGCTGGTGGTGGCGTCGTAGCCGAAATCGCCGTACTCCTGTTAAAACTGGCTGCAAATATCCTAGCTCGGACAACGAAATTTCAGGTTAGGTATTTACTGAGTTAGTTGACTCGGTAAGAATGTTTAAAAATTGGAAAGAAATGGTAATGAAGGGAATTTTAGATCAAAGTTTCCAGTGGATCCTTATATACAGTATTTATTAGACATAACTACGAGTAGTTGCTAAAAATGCAACTATATAGGCCATATTGTCGCCATGAATATTTGTGGTGTGATTCTTAAGATTGGAGTACAATTGTTAGATAGACTACAAAATTATTTAGTCGTTGTTTATGAGGTTGATTTTTAAAATCGCTCTCATAATGTTAGAAATAGTGTTTCTAAGCCCTAAATAAAAATGTTCTGGAGGAGTATGTCCTGAGACTCATATCGAGATTTCTCGCGCCTCGAAATACGACTACCTAAATTAAAATCCTAGCTATATACGGACTTAATTGACATGGGACATAGTCAAGCATTGCAAACAGTGTACGTATTAAGATTACAATATATTTAGTCATGTTTTCTCCATACCTTGAAACCTGGGGCAGGAATGGTAAGTTTGAGAACGAGTGAAAAGGACATTCTCCCTGGCGTAAAAGAAATGTAATCGAAACATGATTTTATTCTTGTATCTTATTTTTCTTGCATCTCCACTTTCCTACTCTTTATGTGTATATCTGCACTCTTAAAAATAGGTGTGCTAAAGCAACACACCGTTTAATATGTCGGGAAAACAAAAAACACACCTTAAGGCGTTCTGCTGTAACACACCTTATCAGTAATACAAGCTTAAATTTAATGTAAAATTCAACCACATACGCTTCGCTAAACATTTAAAGTGATTTCAAAATCTTGCATAAAAATAACTTTGCTTCCCTCCTTATTCAAATATTTTATTATAATAGAAAAAGGCAATTAATAAAAATACACTGCCATTTAAACCTGTATTTTCATTATATGCAACATCAGTTTCTAAAGCAATTACAAAGCAAACATTTTATATTTTATACAAAATGGAGGGATAAAAATATTTTTTACTGGAAAGGGCAACATGATTGCAGGGAGGCCTTCCCCTTCCTCAGCTCATATGTTAAACGTGGCCTTAGTGCATTTTTTAAGGATTCTTCAGTGATGGGGCAAAACTGCCAATGGGCCCAATTTCCTTGTCTTCCTCCCCAGGATAGTATACGATCGCAGAAAATGTGAGCCCAGTGCCGCAGGCGTGAGTTAGCTAGGGGGGTCTGAGATTACCAATAACACTAGAGGGTTATCGTAATCTCAATTAAGTCTAAGAAGGGAACACGGCTTTTGATGGGCAAAAAATTAAAATGCTAAAATAAGTGCGAGTTTGAGCCAAAATCTCTAAATTCTTGTTTATGGCAATTAAGCTAGTCCCTTTTTCATTTTACCAAATATTTTTACCTCAATTTTGTCTATAACACATTTTTGAGAGCGCTCCAAAATAATGCTGATGTCAGCAATTTTGATCTTTTCAGGAGGAATTAATTATCGTTTGATTTCAAAATTTTGGCGGAATGTTTTTAGTAATGACATGCAAAACATATAAAACACCCAGTTTTGCGAGTCTTGTGACTGTTGTTTTACATTTTTCTGGATTTAAGTGTAACCCAACAATTGTGTGATGTTCATCCGGGAATTCAAATTGACCTCCATTACCGCCCTCCCAAAATTTCATCATCGATGAAATAGGAAAGTAATATCTAAATTGTTGTAAAGTTAAATACTCAAGGCTACACGCGTAAAAATGCCTAGGTTGATGCAATACTGATGAAAACAGGATTGAAGAATGTTTTGCTGCAAACATTGTTCACAGTTGTCAACAATATTGAACAATATTGTTACACACAATACAGGCTCAACAATACTGTTCAATATTGTTGACAACTGTGAACAACGTGGACAGGAAAACATTGTTCAATCCTGTTGAGCAGCGGGCTCGGCGTTTTTTGCCGTGTAAGTAAGTAACACGAACTTACTAATACTTGATGTAATCGGTCACTGAAAAGCCCTGTGGGAAGGAGCTAAATAATAACGTAAGCTAGTGTTATTTATAATCTCCATGGGTCTGGGGCATGTCCCGAAGGAAATTTTTAAAAATTTGGCTCTCTGAAATAGCATTTCCTGCATTCTGAGAACACATTTTAAAAAAACATCTCAGCTTCCCAAAACAAAGTTTTAATGGTGAAATTTGTAATAAATTGCGTGCTTTGCATTCAAACAGAACAAAAAAGTTCAAGAATGCTCACCAACAAATTTTGTTTTTTAACTGCTTCTTTTCAATGGTACTCATTTGTTCACTCATTTATAGGGCGCGTTTGACCTATTCTGGATTGCATCGGAGCGGAGCGATTTTTCACACTGCGCCACAGCAAAAATCACTCCGCTTTGGAGGTGATATTAAAAGTAATTCAGTGTGTGCCGGAGCAGGGTATAAACAGGCCAGTCCGGTACGCTTCGGTATACAAAATCGGTTTTGGTGTGGGATATATTGTACATTGTCGCCTTTATTTGCTCGCTGTTGCAATACTGATTGATAGCTGTTGTTTTTTTGCTTTACAACCATTTACTATTTCTGGCGAAAACAAATAAAGAGAACGATAATAACATTGACTTTTCTCTTTCGAAAGAGCAAAAATTAAAGAAATATTCGTCAATTTTGGATAAGAGCGAAACGAAGCAAGTCTGCTGGTCAAGCTTTTTAAACAAAGTTATACTACTGTATACAAAGAAAATGTGTATTATTTCTGGTTTTTAATAAATTTTAGTATTTTGGGAAAAAATGTTTCTCGTATTTCCATGGCCACAGTGAAACGACATAGCAACAGAGCAACAGAAAGAAACGGCAACCTCTAAACTCCTTTGTTTTTTCTTCAGACTGAAAATTAATACGGTATGAAAAGTAATCCGGTATAGTATAAACGGAGCCATAGGGCCCTAGCTTTGGGGCAATAGGCCATTTTTTTCTCCACTGGTGGGGCAGAGGAAGGGGCCTAGTTGGGCAAATGCCCCACCAGTCCATGGTATTAAAAATGCCTTTGCTTGGCCTGGATTTTGTTGTTTATGAAGCTGATGGCAAAACCTATTTACTAAATATCATAATACTTTAATTATTTCATTATTCATTTATACTGTTATAGGCTCTAGAAGTGAATACTTTTACGGCACAACAAGTCTGAATAAAGACAGAAAACGAGAATTTAGTGTCTTTAAATGGAAACTCGATCACAGTCTGCTCATGTTCCGTGGGAAAATTTTTGAGTGGGGTATGGGCGACTCAAAAACCTACAAAATGAATCGAAATCCATCCCAATGTTCAATCACATGGTCGTCTGGAAGTAAAGGCACGAGCAAGTGTCTTTTGAGTGATGTAGAGGAATGGACCCGAAATTATCCGAAGAGGAATGGCGAGTACCACTTGCTGAAAAACAATTGTCATTACTTTGTCAACAGATTGGTCAGACACTTGAACACCGATTGTGGACATTGAGGTCAACAGTTATATTGAATTCTTCGAACTGGCTAAAGGATATTGATGATTGGATTACCCTTCAAACTTTGCACAATTGGCACAACAATTATAAGTAAAATATATAATTATTATTTTCACATATACAATAGATTTTTAGGCAACTCGGTGGGCATTAGTATTTGGATATATGTCTCACATTTAAATAAGTAAATTGCACAGTAAATAAAGTCGTAATCTTGAATAAGTAACAAATCTCTCAATAAAATATTAGCAATGAAAGCGTTGGTAAATATTTTCCTAAATAGATGAATAGAGCGGATTCTTTCAAAGCTTGAGGTACCTTCGATTGCACTTAAGCGGAAACACGTCATGAGAAAACGCGATCTAATTGGAAGCTAACTGGACATGAAACATAACATGTTTGGACTTCAAACTTTACATGATTTTGCTGGAAACATTTGACGATTTACAATTATTTTTCCCGCGAAAACGTAACAACGTTAGCACAAACATTGCAAACAATACTGAATTTGTCAAAACTCACAAATTTACAGTATGTTAGAACTTCACTAACGCCTGTTTCATACGTCGAATTTAATTCAGACGAATTTAATCACGGATTTAGTGTTTGCAAGATAATTCCCGCCCAATATGAATGTGTTTCTAAATTTGGAATATTGACAGTTGACAGTTGAAACGTAAATGTTTGCAGTAAAATCATGTGACGTTTGAAGTCCAAACAAATCATGTTTGTCAGCCAATTGGACGCGTTTTCTCATGACATGTTTCCGCTTAGTTGCAATCGACGGTATTACATTGGTAGTATTTGATATGGCAAACAATTACCTGCATGCATGATGTCTGATGTTTTCAACGTGGGCGTATAAGGAAGTTAATCTCTAGTTTGAGCAAGACGTCGAATTAACGAAGTATATATATATACACACACATATATATATATATATATATATATATATATATATATATATATATATATATATATATATATATATATATATATGCTGCAACGTATAGATATATGGAGAATCGCTACTAAGCTATATATAAACTTACGCTAAACTGGAAAGCCTTGGCCTTCTGTGCTGTCAGGGAGTGTTGCAACATATCTGTCTATTAGTCTAGGACCTGTATATGAGTTTGTATGCATTTCATTTAGGACCGATAATCTCAACTGTTTTAGGGTAAGTTGACCATGACGGTCAACATGGTAACGCTGCCCGAACCCCAATCCGGGGCGAAACGTCCGAAACTGACCACACCCAAAAACGACGCTTTCACCATACTGCTATCTGCCAAACCATAAAAGCTTTGGCTATTATGAAGTGCTTATATGGTTCACAGATGGTACATTTGGGGGTGGTCATTGGTAAGTGTAAAATGCCTAGCACTAATATTTCACAAGAAAATGGCCATGCAATAATCATAGTTAAACGTCAATTTGTGGCTTACAAATTCAGATAAACAGCAGTGGACTTACATAACCTTTTTCCCTAAATCTTTTTGATAGAAACATAAATGGTACTTATTTAAATATATTATCACTGGTTTGGTGTAAAATAGTTAATATTTTCTGACCGAAATAATAATTCGAAATGTGCCTACCTCCTGTAAATGGACGTATTTGGCCAAGTTCTCCACTTTACTCCGCTGTTTATCGGCGATCTCGTCGACATCCTACAAAAAATGTAAATCATCTCAGACATAATGGTATCAAGAACATTTTCAACAAGTTTCAACTTGGTTTCAAGTAGATCATACCTGTTTAACCATCGACAAGGTAAATCCACAACTTTGTCCAAATTCGGCGCCATTTTGTCATCCCATGTCGCTTGTTAACAATTCAGCCTTATTACTCTTCCATTCAAGCCATTTCCATTCCACTAATAATAAATTTAACCCTTTATAACAGGAGGAAACTAAAAAATCTAAACAAAATATAAGAAATACGCCATTTTATCACCATGTAAAATTTTGCTGACGAGTCTTTCAAAACATTCCGTACAAATATCGCGTGACAAAGTAACAGGGACGTGACAGGAGGGGGTGAATTATTTCACGAAGATAGAAGAAGGCTGCGTGAAATAGACTAAAAGCTAAATACAATCATACAAATGTTTGTTTTATTTCTTGTAGCGACAAATATATATATATATTATTATTTATTAATATGAAAAAGTCATACAAATTAAATGTTGATTGTTGGTTTTACCATACTGTGTGGGCTTTCCTTTCATTTTTCAAGTCTCTACCCCCCCTGTCACGTCCCTGTTGCTAAACCACGCGAGATTTGTACGGAATGTTTTGAAAGACTCGTGAGCAAAATTTTACATGGTGATAAAATGGCGTATTTCTTATATTTTGTTTAGATTTTTTAGTTTCCTCCTGTTATAAAGGGTTAAATTTATTATTAGTGGAATGGAAATGGCTTGGATGGAAGAGTAACAAGGCTGAATTGTTAACAAGCGACATGGGATGACAAAATGGCGCCGAATTTGGACAAAGTTGTGGATTTACCTTGTCGATGGTTAAACAGGTATGATCTACTTGAAACCAAGTTGAAACTTGTTTAAAATGTTCTTGATACCATTATGTCTGAGATGATATACATTTTTTGTAGGATGTCGACGAGATCGCCGATAAACAGCGGAGTAAAGTGGAGAACTTGGCCAAATACGTCCATTTGCAGGAGGTAGGCACATTTCGAATTATTATTTCGGTCAGAAAATATTAACTATTTTACACCAAACCAGTGATAATATATTTAAATAAGTACCATTTATGTTTCTATCAAAAAGATTTAGGGAAAAAGGTTATGTAAGTCCACTGCTGTTTATCTGAATTTGTAAGCCACAAATTGACGTTTAACTATGATTATTGCATGGCCATTTTCTTGTGAAATATTAGTGCTAGGCATTTTACACTTACCAATGACCACCCCCAAAAGTACCATCTCTGAACCATATAAGCACCTCAGAATAGCCAAAGCTTTTATGGTTTGGTAGATAGCAGTATGGCGAAAGCGTCGTTTTGGGGTGTGGTCAGTTTCGGACGTTTCGCCCCGGATTGGTGTTCGGGCAGCGTTACCATGTTGACCGTCATGGTCAACTTACCCTAAAACAGTTGAGATTATCTGTCCTAAATGAAATGCATACAAACTCATATACAGGTCCTAGACTAATAATAGAACATCAGCCTTGCACAAAATTTCTTGAGGTTGTTTACTTTTAATAATGCTTACTTGTTTGTTCACAGTTCGAGGATCTGACACGAGGGGCGCAATTGCGCAAAAGAGATTAGGAATCCCGCCAAAAGTTGGTTTATAAATTAATTAAATTAATAAATTATTAATTATTAATTACAGTAATAATTCCGTATTTTAAAAATCCCGTCTTTTCTCATTCCGGGTTTTAAAGATTCCGGCTTTTCCCGTTCCGGGTTTTAAAGATTCCGGCTTTTCCCGTTCCGGGTTTTAAAGATTCCGTCTTTTCTCATTCCGGGTTTTAAAGATTCCGGCTTTTCCCGTTCCGGGTTTTAAAGATTCCGGCTTTTCTCATTCCGGGTTTTAAAGATTCCGGCTTTTCTCATTCCGGGTTTTAAAGATTTCGGCTTTTCTCGTTCAGGCTTTTAAAGATTCCGGCTTTTCTCTTTCCGGGTTTTAAAGATTCCGGCTTTTCTCGTTCCGTTCCGTTCCGTTCCTCGATTCCGTTCCGTTCCTCGATTCCCCGTTCCTGGTTTTAAAGATAGCCAAATAGAAAGGACACCTTTTGGCATGACATCACGTTGAAAGAATCCAGCTTTAATATTAATTGTACTTCATAATACTCGCCTCGATATAACAATGTAAATGCCCTTTATTAACTTCACTTGACGGCTAGAAATTTCATATCTTCGGTTCAGTGCACGCTATGAAGACAGAAATACCACCATTCGATTCAGAAATAAAAGATCAACTAACTCCGAACGATAGTTATAATCATTATTAACATTGTAGCGATTTATGGGAGTTTGAAAGTCTAACGCGATCGTATACTATCAAATTACGCGATTGTCTGAACAAAAATATAGACTAGCCATACCTTTCGCAGAAAATAACTTCGGTCCCTTCAAACATATTGCCTTTGTAATAGTCTTGTTCGAATCCCCATCAAAAACACTATTCAGAGTGTTATTTGCAAGCCTCTATCTTCAAATTTGCATCTTTTATCACGGTATTTCCATTTCTTGTCCGGCTGTGAGCTCGAGGCTCGAAATGAGCTAACCCAACCGGAAGTACGACTAAAAATACGCCAAAACAATGTGATGTTTTTGACAAAAAGCGCGTGCACTATTTATGTACGAAAAGTATATAAGCACTATGAGTCGTGAAAGAGCACATGTTTATGGGAGGGGGAGAGAAAATATACTCGCTATATACTTATCGCGGCATATCCCTGATAAAATATAATCGAAACAAAAATCTGCCAAATCAGCGGCACCGGCTATCGGGCATTACCTGAACAATAAGCGACTGTAAACAGTGTGATTTATACCTAAATGCTCCTAACCAATCGTACAGCTTGAGCTAAGGTATTTTTTTAGGCCTAGGCTTGTTTACTCGAAGAAATAAACGCTTTTGACGAGCTGTTTGGTTATTTATTGAACTTTACTACATGACTCGACGCTGATTATATAACATACGGTTATTCGGGTCAAATAGGGGTTACGAAAAAATTCGTCAAAAATTCAATTCTAAGTTGCCCCAAAATATTATTTGATCAATAGCAAGTGAAAACATATTTTTTGACCTATTTATGATTTTTTTGTCTGAATCGATGTAACAATGGAGATATTTGCTGCCTAATATGGCATATAATAAAGAGGTTCGAAAATAAAAAACATTAAGAAAATCTGTAAAATATTCACTTTTTACAGAAATGTCTCTAAATTTCGTCTGCTAATCAATAAATAACTCTAATTTATAAAGCAAAATCATATTTTGTGAAATATTCGCACTATCGTGCAAAATAGAGCGATTTTGGTAGTGCCGTAAAATGACCTCTAAAAACCGAAAGTGGCCTGGGAAAACCAATTTCGACGTCTCTCTCCTTAAATATTTATCCGATCGAAATAAAACTTTCACAACATTAATACTTCATATAGGCCTACATTCTGACAAAGTTTGAAGGATTTTGAATTTTCTCATTTCACGCGTCTTACCTGACTATTACAGACAACCGCTCTTAATTCCCATTTCACGAAGCATTTTTTCTGTCGATCGACAATCACGCCTCACGGCTGTAGAACAAATCACAGATCATGACAGTAAAATCAAGCATTTCACACGATCAAATATTGACCATTCACGCAGTGGCGTAGACAAGGGAGGGGGGGCTCAGCCCCCCCCCCCCCGAATAGGCTGATGGACTGCCCTTGTAAAAATATGAAATCCGGGTAGAAATTAGGGGGGTGGGGGGACGATGACTACCAATGTGACTACCAATCTCATCTGTTCACCAAATTGTCTATAAAAGTTCTAATCTTTCCTAAATCTAACTGCAGAAAATAATGCCTATGGTGGTTATTGGTTAAAATGCGTTTTAAAACTTCGATTTAACTATTCACACGCGACCAAGTAAGCTTCGTTGAGTCAAATTAAGGATCCACATTATTGAGAAATCATTAAAAATCAGGTCTTTCCTGCAGTAAATAATCTTCAGAATTATGCAAAATCTCTCCCCAGAAACACGGGAAATCGCCATTGAGGACCCCCCTAAAAAGGCTTACGCCTTCGGCGTTCGATATATGCCCTCCCAAAAATTATAGTCTGGCTACGCCACTGCATTCACGGGTCACAAAAATACCCTTTCCCACCCTGCTCATTAATATCGCTCTCTGATTCTGAATAAAAATCGCAGTTTATAATACGTATTGAGAACACTGATACGATTGGGAACCGTGAGAATTTGTATATAGATGCCATTACGCCAATGCAAAATGGTCTAAATTTCGTAGACCATAGCCCCGTATAAAATGGGCCAAGTATAAAATTGCCCAAGTATAAAATGGGCTGTGATAGTTATATCATAGAATAGGAAGGTATACCAGAAGTCTCACTCAAGCAAGTATTTGTCCGCGTTTTTACAAGCGATTCGTCCGATCATCGATCACGCCATCCTGGCTAGTACAACCGGCACTTTGTACCTATCAAAACCTGATAAAAACTTCCGGCTGTACTAGCCAGGATGGCGTGAGCGAGTTAAAATTTTCGTGGGTTACACTTCTGCTATACTTTCCTATTTTGTGATTATATGCTGTATATTCAAATACATTCTTCAACCGGAATATAACCATACGTGGTTATTATTGTATTAACGCTATAGTGAAAATTAAAAAAAAAACGTGCACGCGGCAAGATTCGATAAAAAAAAATCGTGCGGAGTCGGTGAGGTCCAAACAAAAATCGAGCACTCTCAAAAATGCGCCCCCCCCCCCCATGAAAAATCAAATGGTCCGTCCCTTAGGGGTGTATGTCGTTAAATTTCGAATTAATATAAGCGGTTGAACTTCGTGCCTAAAACCAGACATATATTCCGACTAGAATGTGTATTCCGACGGCAATTTTTACACCCTCGTTTTAGTCGTTTAGGCAACGAATTCTCGCTCGATATTCTAGCTACAATATTATAGCTCGTACCAAAATGTAGCTGAATTCACCAGCTATCTGACAATATACGTAAAATTATTGTGCCTGTAATAGTCGCATAGATATAGTGGAATAAAAGCCATATGTTTATGTTGCATTAAACTTTCTAATTATAATTCAGGTTTCAAATTTTGTTTACATTGTGTGATTTTGACCCCGTCGTTTAGACAACGTTTTCTCGCTCAATATTGTAGCTACAGGAATATAGCTCCCACTAAAATGTAGGCATTTTCACAAACATTCAAACCATATGCGTTAGGGGTGAATATCGTTAAATTTCGAATTAATATAAGCCAGGGCATTTTTTAAGAATTCGTCAGTGGGGGGGGGCCATCTACAAAAAGGGACCATACTATACCGAGTATGGAGAAATGATAGATGGTTTGTTGGTAACAAAAAGTTTGGCGTGGTATCGCATTTAAAGTAGGGGGGGGGGGTCTGGGGGTATTCTCCCCCAGAAAATTTTTGTATTTTTCTACCCCTATGGCTGCAATTCCCTGCATTTTCTGAAACAGATTTTTGGATATACAGCATTACATTATGCTATAGATAGACTGAACCTTCAGTTAAGTACTTGCATAGTATGTTTATGTAGTCTATACTACAACTTGGCCGTCAGAGAGCCAGCTTGATAAACTTAGAGGGCCCAATTCCCACGAAGCGCCACCATGGTTGGCACAGAGCGGAAAAATTTTGAAGATTTTGCGTCTCTAAATTGTCGGAAATGGCATTTTCAAAGTCTTCTCTACCTCTTTTGTTAGGCCTTTTCATTAATTCGTTCATTATGATTTGTGAGTTTATGCTATCCGCGAGTCAGGACGAATTATCACGAGAAATGTTGTTATCAAAATATCGATTACAGATATTTGATTATATATACGATTTCAAATACTTCTAGTTTCGAAATCAATTGGGTATTTTTATTGGGGGCCAAGCCTTCCAACAACTCAAATCTATAGGGTCAGGGATATGCAATCCACTGGAAAATGTTTAAAATCTAATAAGGCATTTACAACACAATGTTTAGCATTAAAGATAAAAGACAGGACATAAGATTCACAAAGCAAATTTCAGTTACTAGAATATCAAACCTCCCTTCTAAATTCCATGTTTTGCTTATATTTTAGAGAAAAGGGACTTTGACTGGGGGGGGCCAAAATGGTTGAGTGGGGGGGCGGGCACCATGGGGGCTGGGGGGGCTTTGGCCCCCCTAGTTATATAGTTAAAAAATGCCCTGATATAAGCGCCTAAACCAGCATTATATATTGCGACTATAAGAATGTGTACTCCGACGGCAATTTTTACACCCTCGTTTATTTAGGCAACGAATTCTCGCTCAATATTCTAGCTACAATATTATAGCTAGTACCAAAATGCGATATTCACCCCTAACGCATATGGTTTGAATGTTTGTGAAAATGCCTACATTTTAGTGGGAGCTATATTCCTGTAGCTACAATATTGAGGGAGAAAACGTTGTCTAAACGACGGGGTCAAAATCACACAATGTAAAAAATTTGAAACCAGAATTATAATTAGAAAGTTTAATGCAACATAAACATATGACTTTTATTCGACTATATCTGTGCGACTATTACAGGCACAATAATTTTACGTATATTTAACAGTTATGGCCGCATGGCCGCATGATAACTGTTTTATTATATACACATGGTCTGAATTCACAGACTTTGCTTTCCGGATATTTTCAATATTTTTCTATTTTGTTTATGTTTTTTTCTTCGCTCTTTCGGCCAAGTATTTTTGCTGCCGAGCGCCAGCGAGGCAGCACACTATTCTTGGACGCGCGTTGTTTTCGTTACCAGTCCCCGCGCCCCGAGTTTAGTAATCTTGTGGCTTGAATCTCGATATTTCGTCGAGTTGTATGTTCGCATCCAAGGGGGTTACGGAAATTAATTAAGTATCAAGGGGGGAGGGGATTGTCTATCATAGATATGTACGATACTACAAAAATATATTAAAATATAAACGATACTAAATCAGGTACGAATGGCTTTATTTCTTTCTGGTGATATACATGAAGGCAGTAGATCTGTTGTTTAGTGTTCGATGTTGATGTGAAACAATATGTGTATAAACGATACTAAATCAGGTACGAATGGCTTTGTTTCTTTCTGGTGATATACATGAAGACAGTAGATCTGTTGTAATAGTGTTCGATGTTGATGTGAAACAATATGTACCGGTATAATGATGATATTGCAAAATATAAACAATATGATCCGATGATCGTTCATCAATCTCCATTTTATACTGTGTGAGAGACAAAATGGAAACGCCATATTATATTATTTTGAATAAATCAGGTAGGAATGACTTTATTTCTTTCTGGTGATATACCTGAACGCATTTATATTTATATGTGACTTTATTTTTTGCTGGTGATATACCTGAAGGCATTTATATTTAGATGATTAGACCTGAAGGCATTTATATTTAGATGATTAGATCTGCTGTTTTAGTGTTTTATAATGAATGTTCGATATAGAGCTAGCAAGAAGTGAAAATGTACTTTTGATTTATTTGTTTGTGTGGCGATGTGCACTGTCACTGATCTATTCGTCAATAATGTCTTAATTATACCTGTGATTATACAGGGAGTGAAAATGTATGTCATGTAATATGCATGGTATCGAGATGGTTTTGCCCTGCAACATATGCCTGCAAGCAGTGGTAATGTATGTCATGTAATATGCATGGTATCGAGATGGTTTTGCCCTGCAACATATGCCTGCAAGCAGTGGTGTAGCCAGAGCTTTTTTGGGGGGGGAGGGTGTTAAAATTTTGAATTCTAGAGTCCCTGAAATGCAATTTTAAGGACTTCTGGGTGCGATTGTGCTGATTTCTGAATATTAGCACGTCCCCTGCATACACATTTTTCTGCTTTGTCTACACAACTGGATCAAGATCCTTCTATTTGCACTACCAGACAATATTAGCACGTCCCCTACATACACATTTTTCTGCTTTGTCTACACAACTAGACTATTGAATTCCTCATTGTGGAAAAAACATGGAACAGTTGATGTTTCGGCATTTGCACATGTAATATCAAATCCACCATTGCAACACAAGACATTGTACTGCTTAAAGAGGCAAATAGTAGTTAGTCCCCCATTCCTAAGTCAGAAACTCCCCCCAATTGAAATGACACAAACCAAGATTGTTAAAAAATTGATTTTTAAAAACTAAATTTTAACAAAAGTAATTATAGTTATGAAATGTTTTGCAGAAAATGCATGTTCAAGTTTTTAAATGCCAAAATTGAACAGGATAATTATCAATGATACTATCAACAATTAAATTATAGTTATAACCTGTGGTGCAGAAAATGCATGTTCACGTTTTTAATTAAACTCCAAACTGAACAAAATATCAATTGTCAATGGTACTATGAACATAACAAGTTAAAGCCCTGAAAGTTTTGTCAAGTGGTAACATTAAGTTTACATGTTTACATCCGTCATACAATTTTTGCATGTATCATATGTTATTTCCACAGTGTCCAGAAGTAATACTTGCTCGGATATTTGATCCACACTAGCACGTGCTAGACTTACTGGCAAGCTTGTCAGGCTTGTTAGCTTCAGGAATTGTGCATTGAATACAGCTATACGAATATTCTTGGAGGAATCTTCTCTGTTTTGTACAAGAATGTTTGCAAACCAGTTTGCTCGACAACATAAAAATTTTTTGTTTCATTTTACATGTAGAGCAAACACCCAGGAAATCATCTTCAGCAACTACCTTTCCCTTACATCCCATACACGAGAGGGATTTTGTGATACTGGCGATACCAACAATATCTGCTGAAATTGTGGAAATAATTTCTAATGGAAGACTATCTGCTTCAGCAAGATCTTTCAACTCCTCTCCAGCTTCAAACTTAAATTCACCAGTTTTGGGTGTATTGACATATTTTTCTCCATGACTCTCTTTTAGGCGAAGATTGCTTAATATGTATGTTTGCCCCTCTTCCAGTTTTTCAACTTCACTCTCCCACAATATTATATTTATCGAACTTGTTTCATCCACAAGAACACCTTCCTGTTTCTTTAATGGGCCATGGGCAGTATGAAGAACTTTTACTGAAGACAGCTCCAAAACTTTGGCATGTACGCTGACAAGTTGCTCCAGTGAAAGATTTTGCAAAGAGGATATCGTTGCAACAGCAGAAGTGACCATTGGCTGATACTTAAATGTAATTGACTCACTGGATGCTGGTGTGACTGACGTGTAATTGTTGATAATTACATCATTACCATAGCCTTTCCTTGCACTCATTTTGAACTTTGAAACCTTGACAGGCGACTTTGCATTTTCATATTTACACAACTCGCTTCTTCTCTTGGGTGAGAAAGAAACAGCACGAACAAGATCATTCGATGTTTGTAATTGAGCTGTGAAGTATGCGGTTTTCTGGCTCTGTTTCACTGGTGATACATTGTGCACAAAGCACAAAATATCTTTGCCCTCTTCAACACCTACATTAAATATACAGGACAAAATGTCATGCGACTTATATGATACCATAGGCCTGTTTTATACGTCGAATTTCGGTCGCTTCGAATGCAATTCAAACAATAGACAATGAAGTTTAATGAGGTTTATCATCTCATCTTTGTCTTAATTGCATTCGACGTGACCAAAATTCGACGTAGGGTGTCCCCACCAAAAAATTATTCCCATTCCACCTAGAGAAATTTGCACACACCTGTGAAAAAAACTACAATTAAATAAACAGAACTACAATTAAAATATAGATTTTGAAGTAAATAAGACTAAGAACAAGGAACTTTTTGGAGGTGTTACATTGCTCACTCCCCCCTAAATTTTTGGCACCCTCCCAACCGCCCCCCCCCCTCCCCGGCAAAATCTCTCTATGTAGTATGAGACGTGCAATAATAGGGCTATGTAAAGAGAAGTACAAGGATCAATGTTTTCGTGCACGATATGATTTTCATGATACCACATGCATTGACAGCTTCATCTTGAAGCGGGTGTTTTCAGTTTTATTATATTTAAATACACACCTGCTTTTATAGGACTTGCTTCCGATATTTTTTCCATAGTTCCACTGGGATACCAGTGTTTATCCTGTGATTAAATTAAACAAAAAAAAATTACCTGATCAAACTCGCATACATGTCCAATACTAACGCAAATGTCCAATAGGGACATATGAAATGTCCATTGGACATATGACTGTCCATTGGATCCAATGGACAGCTCAAATGTCCATTGAACATGTGCATGTCCAATGGACATATCGAATGTCCATTGGATATTCGAGTGTCAATTGGATCCAATGGACTAAACCGGACTTTGTAACCACCGGGAAAGGGCATCGTGGATATACTGAATGAGTATAATGTCCAATGGTCCATTGGATCCAATGGACATTTGAAATGTCCAATGGACATATGAAATGTCCATTGGACATTTGACCGACCAAGGAATGTCCATCAATTGAATATATAGATACTTCTCAATGCTTCCTTGTATTATCAATATATTATGTTGCTAACGACGCAATATATCAATATATTATGTTGCTTTGTTCCTATAAGAAAGCACGCTATATATCAATATAATATGTTGTTGCTTCGTTCGTAAGGAACGACGCAATATACCAATATATTATGTTGCTTTGTTCCTAAGAAAGCACGCAATATATCAATATAATATGTTGTTGCTTCGTTCTTAAGGAACGACGCAATATATCAATATATTATGTTGCTTCGTTCCAAAGAAATCACGCCATATATCAATATAATATTTTGTTGCTTCGTTCTTAAGGAACGACGCAATAAATCAATATATTATGTTGCTTTCTTCCTAAGAAAGCACGCAATATATCAGTATAAAATGTTGTTGCTTCGTTCTTAAGGAACGACGCAATATATCAATATATTAAGGTTCCTAAGAAAGCACGCAATATATCAATATAAAATGTTGTTGCTTCGTTCTTAAGGAACGACGCAATATATCAATATATTAAGGTTCCTAAGAAAGCACGCAATATATCAATATAATATGTTGTTGCTTCGTTCTTAAGGAACGACGCAATATATCAATATATTACGTTGCTTTTTTCCAAAAAAAGCACGCAATATATCAATATAATATTATGTTGTTGCTTCGTTCTTAAGGAACGACGCAATATATCAATATATTATGTTGCTTCGTTCCAAAGAAAGCACGCCATATATCAATATAATATATTGTTGCTTCGTTCTTAAGGAACGACGCAATATATCAATATATTATTTTGCTTTCTTCCTAAGAAAGCACGCAATATGTCAATATAATATGTTGTTGCTTCGTTCTTTAGGAACGACCAATATATCAATATATTATGTTGCTTTGTTCCTATAAGAAAGCACGCTCAGGAACGACGCAATATATCAATGTATTATGTTGCTTCGTTCCAAAGAAAGCACGCCATATATCAATGATATAATATGTTGTTGCTTTGTTCTTAAGGAACGTGACCCAATATATGAATATGTTATGTGGCTTTCTTCCTAAGAAAGCACACAATCGGTATCAATGTAATATGTTGTTGCTTCGTTCTTAAGGAACGACGCAATATATCAATATATTATGTTGCTTTCACCCTAAGAAAGCACGCAATATATCAATATAATATGTTGTTGCTTCGTTCTTAATATTCGAGTGTCAATTGGATCCAATGGACTAAACCGGACTTTGTAACCACCGGGAAAGGGCATCGTGGATATACTGAATGAGTATAATGTCCAATGGTCCATTAGATCCAATGGACATTTGAAATGTCCAATGGACATATGAAATGTCCATTGGACATTTGACGACCAAGGAATGTCCATCAATTGAATATATAGATA